CCAAGGTTTGACTAATTGAAAATTCAGTCCAAAACTTAGCTTTCATGCTCGAGCAGTATCTCTTAATTTTTGTTCAATCATTTGATGCAATCATAGATATAAATGAGTTTTGGGCAGAGAGGTCATGTTAGCACCTAGAATGTAATAATCATAAACTTCTGAAATTTACAGATTTAGATCAAGGTTGAAGAGAGTATTTGAGAACTGGGATGAGCTACATATGGTGTGTATTCTGGAATTTTTATTTTTATTTTTACACTGAAAGTATAACAAGGTTTTAATCTATATAATTATATTGTAAGCTTCATATGATTCATTTAATAAAATGTGGTGAAAATGTTTTTTAATTTATATTTTTGCTGATTAAAGCTCTTATCGTGCAATTACAGATCATATGAACAAAAATTTTTGTCACATCAAACATCTCTAAATTATCTTTTCAAAAAACGTCTTTGAACATACTCTTAGCTTTTGCTGTAGTCTAGTTGCCTTGCTAATATAGCTACATTATAACTAGGTTATAATCACAAAAGCGTTTGGAAGTTCTTGTGAAGAACGTAAGGGTTAAATGAATAAAGCTACTTGTATGTGTCATGTTGACGTTATCTCAAGGAATTGAAATGTATTTTCTCATGTCAAATTTCTAGTAATTTTTATTTTTAAATCAATTTTTTGAATTAAAAATAATACTAGAGCAAGAGAAAAAACGATTCATGCAATTTTTACCCGTTAAAAGTCAATTGATTGGCCGGTTAGACTCAACCTCGTGCATTGCAAGATTTTTACTCTAGTATATGCCGAGTCTGAACTAACAATACAAAGTCATACTAGTTCAATCTTAGCATTTGAGGGTGGCTTTGATGCAAGAATTGATTGTTGAATTCACATCGTGTGGTGAATAATTTTAGTGAATATAATTATTTTGTTTAATTAGGGGATAACTACCGTAAAAGCTATCAAATGAAAGCTATATAATATTTAAATTTTCTTTATAGTAGGTCGTATATATCTGCTAAAACAACTCTGGTTACATACTTCTCGATTTGGCAGCCTGCGAGCTTAATATTTTCCCGACGGTGAAGACTTGTGGATGAATCTCTATTACCGATGAGTACAAAAAGGTTGTGTCGCACTAGACAAAGATACTCCACGCATTCTTGTCCAATTCAAGCTTTATTATGATTTGTGTTGTTAAAAAAAATCGAGAAATCTTTCGAAATACATAAACTAGTCATTGCTTACTTTTCAATTTATTCTCATCCTTTACCCATCTTCGATTCACTTCTTGAGTTTGTTTTGGATGGCCGATCTTTAAAAATAATGGCAGCATAAAGAATCAGAGAAAGAGAGAATACTGTAGTGCCCTTATCAAAATCAGAAATTGGAGATTGGTAGACCGAATGATAGAGTAATTAGAAGTGCTCCTCAGTTCAGACTCTGAACTGAGGAGGAGGAGGAGAAGACGGCCATCTTTAGCTCTAAATTTTTCCTCGCTGGAGTGCTTCATTCAAATTTTGGCCAAATTTTGTGTCCAGCGTAATTATTATCTTCTTCAAGTTCACAGGATCTTTTTCTGCTTGATCTTGATGTTGAGCTTGTTGCTACTGTTCTTTATCTACTTGACGGGCTACAATGATAGAACAACAGGCAATATTATAGCTTTAGTAGCCGCACTCGACTTTTGATTTCACTTTCTTTCACTCTTTCACACTTTTGAACCATGAGGTATATGTTTCAAAATGCATTAGTTACAAGATTACCTTAAATACATCAATAATCAACAGCAATAAACCTTCAATTTTCGAAGAAAAATCCTAAAATACTTTTAATGTTACCTTAATATCGAATATTACTATCTTCGGAAGTGTTATTTTTCTTTTTTCACAAATTAGTTTGATATGATAGTTTTAAACAAGAAATACACTTAGGAATCATAAAAAGCAAGAAATAAATCATGATCATCTAACTTTCAGTAAAAGATATGAAAGTTTGACTAAAAATTCTCAAATTCAAAAGTCCTAATAATTTTTTTTAAAGCCGAATAGAAAAAGGAAATTTCAGATTCAGAGGAGTCGTTTCGAATTAAACCACCTACATGTATAAATCTAAAATTTTTCAGGTAATTATTTTATATTTTACATAAAAAATTTAAAGAAAATAAATGAATTAAAATATTTTATCATCATTTTGGAGAATTTAGAAATTTTTTTTTTCATAAAAAGTTATTAAGCATGTTACATATCTCTTTGACACATATGAATCTCAATTATATTGGTAATGTAATATATATATATCACATTAATGATTTTAATAATTTCATTCTTAATCTCAAAGAAATAAACTACTATTGACATTACTTTTGTTCCGCTTGTTTATTTTTTTAACATTGAATGTAACAACTATTGTTATATTTTGAATTGAAAACATAAATCTAACAGAAGATTTTTATTGTGAATGATAATTTACACTAAATGATAATAATTTGTATATCTTTTGAAATCATCAAATAAAAAATTAAATATACTTGTATATGATTTTATTTATAAAATGAAAGGCATAGAAAGGGTTGGAATCTATAAAAGTATTTAATATACAAATATTATAAAATGGAATGAAAATAGATTGTGATTTTAAAAAACTGTGGAAAAAAAATATCATAAACAGAAAATTGTCATGTGAAGACAATATGCAATGATATATTTATGCCAATGTGGTTCAATAATCATTTGCTTGATGATAATCCAAGAAATCATAAATATGAAATATGCTCATCAAAATTTGTCCGTGATGTAAAAATTTTGGAAAATGTTTGTTTTTATCATATTTGTTAAGTTAGAGCTGATTTATACTTTACCAAATGCTTTGATTTTTATAAAAGTTGATTGATCACGTAAATTTATCGATGCTAGTAGTATTCAAATCTTGAATCAAGTATCAAAATTTGACTACTTGATGGTCTTTCGTTTACTCACATCAGATTTATAAATTAAATAAAAATGATTTTTTTTTCTTACCCTTGAAAATTGATTCTTAAAAATTTCAAACTAAATTTATGCTTCTTGCCCATGCACAAGATCGTCGTGATCATCAATAAGATAGAGAGTAAGAAACAGTTTGTCTCCGGTTGAATTATCTGCGCGATGACTGAATAATTGCTCGGGCTGCCATTTAACACTTGCCATTACTTCGCTTCCTTGTTGATTTCAAATTTGATTTCATCATTGCTTTCCACTCTCAAACTCTTTGTTTACACACGTCTACGAAAACTTTCAACTGTAACTCTCGTAAATTGAAGTTGTCAGTGGTACTTCTCGCACAAATTAATTAGTAATAATTCTCGAGCTTCGAAAGCATTCGATATCTTGATAGATATTCACAATTAAAATTATTTTAATAAAATTGAAAAATATAATTATTTGGCTTGTTTGACGGATATATAAAACAATATTAACTAAAAACTTTGATTTGCATCACGAAGATATTTTGGAACGTTTATTACCTAACGATGTTTTAAACTAATTAGAATAAATTGACATATCATTATTTTCTAATAACATTTAGATTTTTCTTCAAAGGAATTTATTTTATAATTCACACTTCGTTCACAGTAGAATAGCAATACCCAAGAATTACCAAATATAAGGATGTGTACAGATTCAGTTATTTGTTCCTCTAGCTTTTTTCCATGTATGTAGCTGTAAAATAATTGCGGAAAACTTCTCAACTGGAAATTGAGATATATTCTGGTGACATGAGATATCTTCCGTATCAATGCAATTGGAGCCTGGACCATCTAACTCATTTGACTTCATCACTGTCCGCACTGATGGAGTCATCCCACCCTTTCAAATTCGTTATCATGAAGCGATTATACAATTAGTCCATTGAATAATCTAGGTAAAATGATGGAACCCACCTGCCTACTTCTGTCTCTTCTTGCTTGATTGGAACCGCGATCTCCACGACACCAAAGCAGTGGTGAGTTTGTGAAAGAAACGAAAATCTTGTGCGCAAGTTACGTGCGCTGGTAGAACACATAATGGCTCAGATCTGATTGATACTTTTAATCAGATTTCCTTTTAACTCGGCAAGTTATTCCACACAATTGCACCGCAAGATACCACCAGAGTTCCGGCTTGACAGAAACTGTGATTAAGGCACCCCTCGATATCAAACTCTGGCATTCAATCGTAACACAAAGATAAATTAGAGACAAATGATCAGATGATAGATGACTATATAGGAAGACCGTGTAAAACATTGTATAGAGTGGTAGGGCTATGGTGAAACCTAAAGGACACGCTCAGATAACAGCATGACTGGTCCTCTGCACCGCAAACATTGTCAGCGGTAGAAGCTATATGTATTATGCACACATTAAAGCAGCAGCTATAGTAATCCAAAGCGGAGGCACTCGAAAGTGCCTCAGAAGACCTCAAAAAGGCAGCGGGAGCAATACGTTTCCTGTACAGATATTAATATCGAAATGGAAGAAAAAAATGTTTCATACTATCAACCAGGTAAGGAGGAAGAGATGAGCTAGAGTGAATGTTATCTGCACAGGGCAGATGTTATGAAAGGTGAAATCCTAATAAAGTAGACAGCGTACTTAGAATCAAGCAGCAGCTGAGGCTATTTATAGCTGAGGCAGTTTAATTGATTATTGAAGTTGTTCAACAGACTATTAACACCGAAAGCAAAGAAATAGTAACTATCAGCATCGAAGAATAAGATCAATCCAACAATACAGATACAGCTGAGGGTACTCCTAATTCCGCATGAAGGCAGAAAACATAACAAACTCCTTGAATTTCCTGATATATGTAATTAGGAGATCAACTTTAGTTACAAACTTCCTTCTTTGAGATATACAGAACAATGCGACCCAAAGTGTATACATAGCTCAATCCGGCAAAATGGTGAACTCAATTCTTGGAGAGAAGGAGAGCTTTCAACAATCCATTCACGAAACAAAGTGCTCCTCCACATTCAAACACGTTCGCAAAAAATGAGGCAACCGAGCCTTCATATGTTTCTTCTCCAAAGAGTAAAGAATGTTACATTCGAGAACACCATCGAGGTGTTTCTCAGTGTCTGGGTTCCAGTGCCTAAAGTATGTTTCTCCCATTGGCGGAATTCGGACCAAATGACTCCAAAACACAAATTGGAGATAAGTACAAATTGGAGGGCTCTGTACTTTATAAACCCTGATTTAATTTCGAGCAGCGGAGAATCACGTTTCTGTAAGCTTGTACATGCAAAACGAAATCGGTAGGCTGGGCACTATCTAACACGTCGTTATTCCTGTACCTGACATTTGCAAGTCTATCCTCGAACCGCAAAGTTGTAATGCTTTGATCCCTCAGTTCTGACATAGCGGAACATTGAACTCTTCAAAAGATAGGCATATGCAGCGACGTTTTTTCCACAAAGAGTACGTTGATCAAGTACTTCTTCCTTGCAACAAATTCGAGAAAGATGGAGCAGGCTGATTCCGCATCTCTTCTTGCACTCTCTTCATCTCTTCGGGATCTGTACAGCCCACAATGGATACACATAGTCAATAAACGACAGCCTTTCCGCTGAATTCCTTAATGAAGCTGCCAGCATTGTGCAAACTAAACTTTCTTCATCAAACACAACATATTAGCTAGAACTTTTAACACAAGTTTAATCTCTTCGCATAAGGTAGAGCAATTACGACACATAGAAAAGAGAAAATAACTCATCCGAAAGAAAAAACTACAGACGACAAAGGCCACAAACATCGGATTTCTTCGTAATTAAAAATAAATCTGGCATGTTCTTTCCTGTCGAAGCCAGAAACCCCTGACAGTAGCAGACGGAGAAGATGAAGTAAGATGGGTTGGAGAAAGGCGGAACAGGGAGGGTCATTCAGAGTACATGTCTGTCTTGAACTATAAATTCCCCATAAACGATCGTTTGGAACTTCCAGATGTCAACCAAGAAACCCTTCACGAGTTCATCTCCAAACAAAGTTTCGGCAACAGCTTTGGGTTATGAGTCAAGGATCAGACTTCCGAGTATGTTTCTACTTCCACCAGCTGAGAAAAGTTGTGGTCAAATACCAAACTAATTCTGTGCTGCATGTAGCTCCTTACAACCAGCAGTTTCGTCCCTAAGATGGGCTATTGATCTGACGTACGTTGGAACATGATTCATTAATCTTGAATACTGGAAGAGGATACTTACCGATACTATCCATCAACTTAGGCAAGAGGAAGACCGCTACCAGCATGAAGCCCACCATCAAACCCATCGGACTTTTCAGGAGACCCACGACAGAGAAAGGCTCTCGTCTCTGCAAACGGCTCGATTTTAGCAACGGCAAACCTTACAGAGAGGATAAATATTCCAAAAAACTGCCTTACAGTTTACATCTTGACCCAGCAAAGGATAAGGGCTGGGGCACTGAAAGATAAATTTTGAAAACAGTGTAGTAAAACTTGAAGTCAAATATTCGATTCAACCCCTACCACCTATACTACGACCAAGAAATGATCGAACAACTATCAAACTACACAACGAAAGATTCCTTAAAACACAGAAAGAGCATTCAGGCTACCTCATAGTAGAACTCCTCTCTCAGAGGTTCGAGCACTAAAGCATCGGGCAGAGTTCTGCGAGTCTCTACTGCAATAGCTCTCACTTGCCCGTGAAGCCTTGCGCTTACATCTACTCGAACCTGAACATAGAAGCATCAAGCAACAACATAAAGCTTTTTCCTTCTGTCTTTCGCCATACTAGGTATTATATCGTTCTTTGGGTAACATCCAACCAAAGATGCAAAATTTCGCTAAGGCATTTAACTTGGCATAAAATGAGGGTTTCGAAATTCTCAAGAAAGCTATACATGCACCTCTAAGTCTGAAAATTTCTACTAAGCTACGCACGAGTTCGAAATAATGCTTGCTGAAAAAATGAACGAGTTGCTAGTGTGCTTAAAAACCAGATGAGCAAGACACATGCACCACTGTCGAAAATACTTAAAAAACGAAGATAAATTCCAACACAAAGGAATCAAAGAGATTAGGAATATTGTAAAATTGTGCTCTCGCATTCCCTAAACTCAAAACAAGAAGAGCTCAAGTGGTCGAAAACTGTACCGGAGAAAAGTAATAGCCCATGGCCACCACTTCGAGAAGATGAGTACCAGCTGTCACACCCTGGCTACATAAAAAGAGTTTCACGATATTCAGTGGTAAACACTACAGTTCCTCGATATTTCCCTCACAGAAGCACGCTCAGAAGTTATCTCAAGAATCACATAGCTGAAATTAAGATCTGTTATGCACGGGATGTGAACCCTTAGCCAAACAAGGTCAAGGCGAACATAATCAGAATGGTTCCCGAATTGGTTACATTTGTAGAGGCAAGATACCTCCCCGTGAACTTATAACACTAACGTACGTTCCACTTATGCAATCCACTAAGTAAAAAACGTGACTTGTAATGTCTCCGTTTCAAATTAAAGTCAAAGCTGGAGCCCATACAAAGCAAAGTAGCCGTCAGGTCGGATAAACGTCAGTTGTTCTCCACCATTTAGCACCACCTTGATGTTTGCTGTCTTGCTCAACGGCAATTTCGTTGTCGTGCCTTCAAGACCAGATTATTCAAGCCATAGCAACAGTCTCAGAGGAGAAGACTAACACGAGCTAAAACTGCAAATCTCGTTTTGAATTCTCATTTATCAGTAACCAATCTCGATATATCTCCAAGCCAATTTCTCAATGCCATACTTCAAACGAAATCAGAAACAGGAATGACGACACTGAACGATTCTTACTACGAAGAGCATTGACCCTTGTTTGTAGAAATTTGCGTGTGCAAATTTCTAGAATTTTTAGTTGCACATGAAAGATAGAATAGTGTGGTTACCTTCCACTTTCACTCGCCCTTCGACGACATAGCTACTAGCAGCTCTGCCAATTTCAAAATATTTCGTCAGAATTTGAGAGAAAAAAAGCTCGTGCTCTGACTGAGTGACCCAGATCAGGCAATCTAAATCAATTTTGAATCAATTTTCCCGCACTCACGACACCCCTGGATCTCCCGTGCGAAGGAGTCCAGATAAACTGTGGCCTCGATTTACAAAACGCAGATCGAGGAAATCGATGGGGAGATTATCACAGATCTAAAACAAATCCAGAACCACGTACAACAAAAAGTCTTCATCCTCGAACGAACCGAGAATTGAGGGAGGAAAAGCTAACACGCAGACTTAAAAATTCAAGGCCTGAAATACATTACTTCGGGGCACTGATCGCAGACGCGGCTAAGACGATCGCGCAGAAAACTGTCAGCTTGCAGACGTGCCGGAGGCCCATCGCAATCGCCATTTCGGCCGTGCTTTCGGAGTCCTTTGGAAAGCTTTGGCAAGGACAGTCAGTGCACTGGCCCCTCGCGCTCTCTCGCTCGCTCTGCCTCAGTCCCAGTCCGCCTTAGGGTTCCTCAGCGTTCCAATCTCTCGTCCCTGTCAAATCTTCCTGCTCCACGACCGATTTCCCGGCACATTCCCCAGAGCTCACCGGTTGCGCCAGTTCCCTTCAGCGCTGCCAGAGGTACGACGAACCTCGGCGGAGCTTTTCGATGCAGCTCGCCCGCCGGACGCTGATGCTCAGGGCAGAAAACAATTAAACGTCATTTGGACTTGAGCTCGGTCCATGCCCAGCAAACGAGAATGTTAATGAAGACATCCTAATGTCATCTTACAGATTCCGTCACCGCAGTTGATTTCATTGTCATGAATTAGTGTGTACACGCAAGACACGACAAATCGTTAACCTCGAAGATAAAAATTAAATAATTTAGTTTTTATCATGATATCATTGTAATCAAGAGCGGCCATGATTTCATTCTGAAAATGGCCGAGAGATGTAGATTTGGTTTTGTCAATCACAAGTTTTTCAGTATGCTAATATCAATAAGTGAGTATTCATTTGTTCTTTTCTTTAATCCCATATTAACTTTTATAAAATTTAAAGTCGCATTAGTACTACTATTTACTACTGTACTACTTTATTTTACTACTTTTTTTTTTTAGTAGTAAAATAAATAGTTGGTTCAAACGTTGAGTTATGTTTCCCAGAATATATCAAGAGATTTTGTATGTAGATATCTATACATATTGTTTGCATTCGATATTGCCACGTAAACAATGTACATACTCTCAATCTTATGCTCAAATAAAGGACTCAAATAAGAATAGATAGTTAACTCGTCTAAACTAAGTTAATTGTGTATGAATTCTCTTCTCTCTTTACTATCATGACATTTCAGTGGCGGCAGACTTCTAGTTTTATGGTTTCTGAACCCCCCAAAATAAGACCCAAATGAGTCAGATAAGAGAAAACTTCATTCTGATATTTTGCTCGTTCACTGACTCATCTGACGAAACCAATTTTGGGATACAATTGAAGATGGAATCATTTTGGTGAGCGTTTAAAAAAAAACCTTGGACCTGTGAAAAAAATATTCCATAGTATTGTTCGCATATGAACTCACAACTGAACAGACCCACGTTCAGTTTCTTCTTTCTGCATAATAGGAAGCTTCCTCTGTGTGGCGTTCTGAGAAAAAAATGAGATAGAGGGATTACTTACAGTAGAACCCGTTGGAAACCACGTTAAAACCATATTGGTTCTAACAACACCACGTTTGGTTGGGACTCCATTACAAGAATTCATGACTCATTCGTGTAATGGAGTCCGTCCTTGATAGCTCTGGCGGAGACGGGCGTGCGAGACCAGTTCGTTCGTTTCGCAGTTGAGGGTTTGGTCTGTGCATTCATGAGTGTCATAGAAAACACGACCAATATTGTAAAAGTAGAGGACTAAAAGTAGCAAGCATTCGCAATTCTACACGCTGTGCTTGGACAACTGCAACACTCGATCTGTGATGAGGCTGTGAAGCTACCGTTTGTGTTAATCGCTTAAGGTTATACATCACAGATAGGTGGATGGTAGACTTTAAGGAATGCGGAGCTTTAGTTTGGATACATAAATTATCGCAACTACTTTTTGTGTGGGCTCACATTCATACATGAATGACTGATTCACCCTGACGTACTTCATCAGCATGTCTTGAAATATATTGTGATGATAGAGCTTGTATTTTACCAGTTTCACACCATTGAAAGTATATGATATGATATTACAATTTTATAATGGCATGAACTGGGGACCAGAAGTGTGAGCTTGGGGATGGTGAAGTGATATTCACTTATAAAAACGTAGTACATTAACTGGGCTATACATGGGTACTGATCGCAACGAAATATCGCAAGAGCCCCCGATCAGTCCTCATAGTGAGAACATTCCATAGGTCCTGATAGTAATGAACTAGCTGCTGTTATAAGCAAAAACCTAAGATCAAACTACGTCGACCTGATTTCAGACAGATGATCGAGCTCTACTCTTATACACACGAACTCAAGACGTCCACAGGATCATCGTCATCAAAAAGAGCTTACGTGCTGATCACAGTGAACACCTATTTCTCTCTTACTCAGAAGATGAGGTGAGTAGTGAGGCTGGAGGGGTTCTGACGGCTGGGGGCAGTTCTTAGAAATCGAATGCACGTTGGTCAAGTAGAACACATCAGCAGTTACCGCTTCTTCATCCTGGTTCCTGTGCCATTTGAAAACTGCAGTAGTTTTGTTGAAGATTTCGAGTGTTCCATGACCAAAGCTGGGCTCACGAAAAGCACTGTATGAAGGCTGGGGTGTGACTTTGAACCTGTACGAGAACGGTACATGAATGGAAACGTTTGCTTGGTTAACTCATCTATAGAAGAGTCGATAAGGATAGCCTACAGTACGGAGCTAGTACACTGCCTACTCACTAACAGTACCATAGTCTACTGCAAACAAATCCTTGATTATATCGCATTTCATAGTAGTAATAGAAAATTGGAAGCTAAAAACTGCTACAGAGAACTTACGCTGTTGCAGGGCCCTCACGATTTCCTCCGTCTCCAATTGTAACATAAACTGGTGCACAATTGTCCTCTTCGTAAAAATACAGTCGTTTCTGTGAACACAGGCAGCTCCTTTTTAGCTCAACATTTCAAACTTCCTATAATGTTTATTTGTTTTGAAACTTCGTAGCATCCCGTGAGTGTGAGAGGGCTGAAGTCCAAGAACCTTATTAAAGAGATTTATCGTGAAATGGGGAAGAGAACTCACAAATCGCTCATAAGAATGGACGTGACCGGAATAAATAGCATCAACGTGATACTTTCGGGCGAAATATTCCACCGCATTGCGCATCACTTCCCCTTCCAGATAATGTGCGTTGTAGGTGTTGTACCACGGTGCATGGGTGATAATGACCACCCATGGTGTTATAGCTCGGTTGACACGAGACAAGTCAGCCTGCAAACAATTATAAGCCGAAAATTATCTTGAATTTGCTGAAGTTGTAATGATTCATTCAACTCCATCATTGATTTCTCTTATCGATCTAGCAGAAGTGAGTGCGGAGATCACGAACCATATCTTATGCAAGTCCAAAAGGATGGCATTAAACGATCTCTCCACCATAACTTTTAACCTCAACTCCTACGAGGTATGATCTAAACTAGTCCGATACAGATAACTATACATGTACCCAAAAAATGAAGCTGCTATTAGAATACATTAACTCTCCTGTTCCATAGTCACCTTATTTTCGAGAGCACAAACATGTTCTTGGCTACCAGACGCAAAAGTAAAACTTCAAAGTTCGACCTCATTTCAAACAGTCAAATTTACACGGCAGGGGGTTCCAACCTCTAACCACTTGTATTGTGGGGTGTATTTGGCCAATGAGACGTAAGAGTTGAGTGCAACTATATGAACCGGTCCAATCTCGACAGAGTAGAACAGGGGACCTTGACTGCGACTGCTCTTCCATGGGGTTGCGAAGCGATGAGTAGCTGCTACGAATGGTTCCCTCTCATTCTGAAGACAAAACAAAGAAAAGCTGAGAGATCAGTTCAAAGATACCTCGAGAATCAAACCAGAGAACAACTTGTTTGACAGATCAGCTTCCCCTGGCAGTTCAACGCCTTTCTACCAACCCACTGTTCAGTCAATTCAGGTTAAATTGGAAGTGCGAAACGTGCTCACCGCTGACTCCTTGTACTCAATCTCATGATTCCCGTAGGTGAAAACAAAAGGAACTTTGCTGGAATATGGTGTCATCATTCGACCCCATGTGTCCCAACGGGGCTGGTAATCATCGGCATAAGAAAAATCACCCATGTTGAGAAGATATTGCCCTTCACTCTCCATCATATGACCTAACGTGGTATTGGATGAGTAGGTTTGGCCAAGATCTCCTGCTCGCAAACAAGGGAAACTCAGTAACATTTAGCAGTAATTCAGGGCATTGTATTCTACATATCCACGCTCATCAACCTAACTGAGGTTCCATTTTTAAGGTCAAGATTATAATTCTCTGCACAATACCTTTACTTGAACATACATGTAATCCAGCACGTAAAGAGTAAATGTCTTCCGCTTACCTACTATAGTAAACTTAATGGCTGTGTCTGGTCCGGGTGCGGGTGGCGTTGTGAAGTCACCATAAAAGGTCAAGAATTCTTCGTTACTGCTGCCAATTTTGTAGTAGTACTTTGTATTATACTGCAGAAAGATGACCGGAACCAGATTCAACGCTTGCCGGTCAGTCTTGCACTCTGTTATATTAGCTGCAGTAAAATGCCACATCATTTGCAAATAACTTGCGGATGTTGATTCCTCTTACTACACAAAACAACCTGTCAAGTTTAACTGAATCTCCTCGTACTTCAATCATCAGAAGATTAAAATACAAGAAGATTTGAGAACAAGTGAGAAAACTAAAAGAAAGATGCAGGCTGAAAGGTATTGCAGACCTCCAGATTGGATAGGGTTACATGATGAAGGAGACCAGAAGTGTAGTCCATGTATGTATATCGCTTGGGCTCATCTCCCTTCGCCAGCAGATCGTATTTCTTAGATTCTTTTGAATAGAGCACCAAAGTCTCCATGGTTTTGTTGCTGGACCAGCTAACCGTAATTGCTGTTCCCGTACGGTCTCCAATAGTCAAGAAAACCTGCAGAGAAACCAAAGGGCAGAATTTCAACTGAATCACTGTGCTTGACGTCGCTTAATGTGCCAAACAGACCCCTAGAACTCAGTTTACAATCAAAATAAAATAGCAATTTTCTCACAATGCTCTACAAAAGAAGTTCCTTAAAAGTTGCAACATTTTGATCAGTTTACTGTGTGGCTGCATCAGATATAACATCTACATACCTGCTCTGGACCTCCGCGTGGGTTTGGAGCAAGAATAGGCTCATCTAAATGCATATCAAGATCTGCATCAGGTCGGGTGTACTCGGTCTCCACACCAGCATAAGGACTGTTGGGATCCAAGGATTGACTCTTCACTTGTTTATCTGTACAACAGCCATAACAGGGAGGTTAGTTCAGAAAAGAAAAACATAATATTTGTTCCCGATTACCCATAGACCATCGAAATACTCTCAGTCACGTGATATATACTTGCAGCGTTACTAGAATTTCTACGGTGGTGAAGCTAGCGACAAAATTAAAACTTGATACCAACTATTAAAGTCGAATTTCGAGCACATATTTTGAATTTGAGCAATGTCATACAGTTTTACGATGCAAAAAAAAAAGACAACACTCCAAGTTATTGAGGACATGTTTGACGAATAACTGCTACAGATATTCCTAATGGCCCTTATGTGACACTAAACGCTCCAAGGTAAGATATTGAGAAACGACGAAAAGAAAATCCCATCAGGCGGAACAAGTGGGGACTAAAGCTCGGTCAGAATGCTAGTCCCATTCTCAGAGAACGCTAACGGCAGTCACTTAAGGCAATGTGCGCTCATCTGAGAATGTGAAATTTAAATTTGTACCAGGGACTCTGAACTACTGTCGATGGAGTACTCCAGTCATCAGGTGACCAAACGAGCAAAATAAACACGAGATCCTTCAAGCACACAAGCTTACCATTTCCAGCGTGCAATACGATACAGAGCACCAAAAAGGACAGTAATTTCTCCATCGTTGCACAGTTCTTGCTGTCGTATGTAAATTTCAATCTGCAGGGTAATGTGCATTTTAGAACTGACATCTCAATTGATACTGCACAGGACCTGTGAATCTAAAGCACCAACAGGACAACGTGTTGTTGCTGACACACTCTCACAAAGCTCGCAGTTCGCAACAAGTTCTGCCCTCCAATTACATAAACTTGCAATAACCGATGTACCGAGCCATTACTCCTCTCAGTCGTCAGTGCAATCATCTATCGGACCAGAATTCTATCGTGCTTCCGATGCACCGGAACTCTAGACACCTCTCGGGAAAAAAAATCAGGCATCCATTACGACGAAAAGCCTCCTGTCGATTCCTCGAACCCACGATCGAACTCACCGGCAGATTTAAACTCCCGCGGCAGCTAAGGAAGAAATCATCCAGACCTCAGCAGCACCATCCCTAGCTGCTCGTCCTTATTCCGAAAATGCACAGCGTCCCGCGCTAACCCGAAGCCTGAGGCAAGCAAGCAAGAGCCGGGCACACGAAAGGTGCTGGGCGACGCTGCCTAATAAAGCTCACAGCGGCCCTGCCAGGCCAAAAAAGCCGGACCTTCGAATGGTGGGCCAGGGAGGTCGACGTCGAGAACATCGATGCGGCTCCATCAGCGAAGATTTAGGCTCTGCCGATGCAATCGCTCAAATCTCCATGCCGAGGGCAGCGACATATTTGCCACTAATTCGCCTTCGTTCGTGGATGGATGGTCGGTCGCCTGAACGATGGGAATTTCCCTTCTTCGTGCTTCCTCCTCCACCCCCAGTCAGCTCTCCTCCCGGCCGGGAATGTTCCCCACAAGATTCCATGCCCCGCTCCCCTCTCTGACCCTGAGCCCAGCCCGTTCCGCGCCTGCGGGAGCAGGGGGTAGAATTGGCATGGGAAAATTCCCCTCGTGCCAGAGGTATTTTTTACGTGGGCCCAACCTTGGATAGAGAGACGGGCGGCGCTCTTTTCTCGCTTAACTCCGGTTCTTAGAGTGATGTGATTCCCGTGGACCCCACCTCGGATCGAGAGGGGAAGGCGCTCTCTTCTCCCTTTTCTCTGGTCTAGAGTCTTGACCAGAGAAAAGGGAGAAAATTATTACTTCTGTCAAGACTCTAGACGGATGTACTTATTTTCGTGAGCCTCACCTCGGACAGGAGGAAAGGAGGAAAGCGCTCCTTTCTCCCTTCTTCTCCTTTTTACGTGGCCCCCACTTTGGATAGGGAGGTGGAAGGTGCTCTTTTTTTGGCTTTACTCTGGGTCTCAGAGATATCATATCTCTGATGTGTAATTTTTTACGTGGGCCCTACCTCGGGTAGAGAGAAGGGGGAAGGGGCTCTGTTTGCGTTCTACTGTGGGTCTGAGACAATGTCCGTCTTACACGGCCTCGTACGTCTCCTCCGCCGATACGACAAAGTCATTTCTGCTTAGAAACGGGCACGTGGCAACTGCCAGCAGTCTCTAAACTTCTTGCGAAATGGGTCCGAAAGGCTGAATGGGGAGAGGCCAACTTGATTACGAAACGCATGGAAACGGAAACAGTGGCTGAGCACCAATAGTATCCTAGGAGACCTTGCACCATGAACGAACATTGCAGTGTACAATATTCTGCTCCACAATATTTTGATGGATTATTATGCAGCGAAAATATTGGGACAAATGCTACAAATGAATTTCATTACTCGCTGAAATAGGCAGATCCATGCCCCTTGAATCGAGTCTCAAAAGTGTTGGGTGACAACTCGACGTGAATCTAGTCAAAATTGAAATAAATCAACCAACTTTTAGACAATTGGTGAACAATGTTTCGAGTCATTCGTTGCTGCTTGCAATCATGGAGAAGTTGAACTTTTGAACTCCTTGATTACAAATAATTATTGCGTACGGCAATTCACACCAGACTAGAAATGGAAATAGTTTGGAAATAGTTTTCAACCAGCAATTGACGCGTCTCGGTTTCACCTCGCTAACTGTGTCATTGCCCCAAGCGCAAAGATAAAGACGAGATCGCAAAAAGTCTCTTTGGTCTCTTTGAGAAAGTCTCTTTGGTCTCCTTATCGCAAAGACTCTAATGTCCAAAACTAGAGACATTAACACTCAAAGAGTGAAAACTTGAAAGATTTGCACTAGCAAATTATAATAAGTAACACTCAAATCTAGAAAATTGAAAGTGATATTGATACTAGAAGAGCATATTCAACTAGTTTTGACAAGATTAAATGACAATGTTACGAGACTCTTTATTTATAATGCTAGGATGATACGAGAAACTTGACTCCATAATAAAAACACAATTGCTTCGTGTGACACCGGTTGATTTTCTAACTCTTAGAGTCGATTTACATGAGCTCTTAATTGAAATGCTTGAAGTTGTTTGACTGATTGGAGCTATGTAATCTGCTCTATATGATTGATCAAAGAGCAATTGTTGCTTCTCAAACAATCGGTTGACACAGTCAATTGTTTGAGTAATGACTTCTAATTGAATCATTGATTTGGGCAAGTTTAGCAACAATTTTTTAATATCGTCATGGAGTTACATCAAAACATGATGATGAAAGTCGTATCTATTCAATCAAGTTCACATGCAAATGTCTCATCAAGACATGATTATGAGAATTCTATCGTTCCGATGAAGATCACATGCAAATGTTTCATCAAAACATGATGATGAGAGTTCTATCGTTGCAATGAAGATCACACGCAAATGTTTTATCAAAACATGATGATGAGAGTTCTATCGTTGCAATGAAGATCACACGCAAATGTCTCATCAAAACATGATGATGAGAATTCTATTGTTCCAATCAAGATCACATGCCAATGTCTCATCAAAACATGATGATGAGAATCCTATAGTTCCAATCAAGATCACATGCAAATTGTTAAAATTTTATAATGTATGAAAACGTTGGATTCGATCATTATTACAGTGTTCAAATTTTTATTGTTGCTATAAGAGTTCAATTTTTCTCTCCAAACATCTTCCTAAATTCTTCCAAGAATTGATCAAGATCGGCAAAAAGTGGACAATTCTTCTTTAATAGTGGGAAAAAACAAGATAACGCCATTATGAATCCAACTTGTGTTTCTGAGTATTTGTGATTGAAGATGGAAAACATATCAATACACTCGAGATTATTTTGAAATTTGTGAAACAAGAATTGCTTCAATATGGGAGAACGAGCAACTTGAAGCTATTACATAGCACTTTGTAAACTTGCACTCACTTGTTGTAGCTATTGCAGCATAACAATCAAGTCATGCATCTAGATGTTGAAACCGTCATCCATCTTGAATTCAATATGCTTAAAAGTTCATAAATAAATGAAATAACAAATCTTTGCTATTGAAAGTTGAATAGTGGATACAAATAGTGTTGACAAGATCTAGGATAACGTCCCTATTTATATTGCTATGACATTACGAAACTCTAAAGTTGAAGGGTGTACACTTCCTCCAAAGTTCGGAAAGGTTGCCTTTCCAACCTTTGTTGTCACCTACGTGACAACAATACTATTAGATATGCAAAGCATAACATAGTTCCATGACACTAGCGTAAAATGTTCTTGAACATCTCATAGATTAACTCTCGGGTTTCACGAGATACATACATATGCAATACAATCAATTTGTCTGCATGTAGAACATATCATGGGCATGACAAGTAAATATTTGTTCTTCTCTAAATCTCATTTCGAATGCACCATAATTTGTTTCTTATTAGATAATAATCGTCTCACCGTAACTTTCTATTCTTCGAAATTCTATGAGAACCTTCTCAATTCTTTCCATTATATGTCATCCTACGAAACATTAACTCATCCATAACTAAAATAGTGAATTTCTATTAGTATGAATCTATTCAAATGAAATTCACTGAGATTTTCCATCAAAATAAAGTACTTCCGTTGGTGGTATAATTTTACTTTAGGTATCATTATCGCTTTTTTCAGGAATGTAAAATTACCTTTATACAGGGTCAGCTTTGTTCAGTCTACCCTAAAAAATACCTGGAGACAATGACTTTTAATATTTCTAGCTATTGCAGTAACGGATATCCACAAAATTGAAAGTGAATGGTTTTGATTTTTTATTTTCTCACATAGGGCTAGACTGCCAATAATCTCCTCCCATACAGTCTACCCTAAAAAATACCTGTAGACAATGACTTTTGATATTTCTAGCTATTGCAGTAACGGATATCCACAAAATTGAAAGTGAATGGTTTTGATTTTTTATTTTCTCACATAGCGCTAGACTGCCAATAATCTCCTCCCATACATTCGCAGTTTAGGGAGTGGTCACGTTCATCAGACGAGACCTGTATGCCGAGAGGCATACAGGATCATGTCTCTTCTGCTTCCCGGTCGTGTATGTTCTACACTTGCCTCCCTTCCTAGTTGGGGCCCACATTCCCCATTCTGCTGCAGTCTTCTCATGCACGGCAGTGGACGATGCCTTGGAGACTGCACCAGAATGCATTGGATCTGCATTCTGGTGCAGTCTACAATGCAGATCCAATGTAGAATGCCAGATCAAAGCTGGTTTTTCTCTGATTCTACGATAAGTCCTCCACGAAGACTATCAAAAGTGGGAAAGTTGGAGCTTGAAAATGTCTGTATGTCACTTCCGAGAAGGAGACTGGGAGGTTTACATCGGTCGACATTCGGCTGGAGCACAGCGGGCTGGAATTCCGGCTTCTGCCTGCATATGGGGGAATCCTTTCAGCATGCAGAATGAGAGAGATGAGCGGGAGCGCGCTGAGGTTGTGAAGAAGTACGAGCGATGGCTTCTTGACCCCGAGCGAGACGCGCTGGTACAAAGGGCGAGGAGGGAACTCAGAGGCAAAAAGTTGGCATGTTGGTGTAAGCCAAAGCAATGTCACGGAGATGTGCTGGCTTGGGTTGCCAATGTCAATTCCCTGGATGAGATTAACGGCAGACGGATAGAGTTGAGAATGAAGGAGGTTAGTTACGGTGATGCGTAACAGGTGGGAAGCCGGACTTCATCCAGACTCATCCTCTACGAGCTAACTGTCGAAGATTGAATCATAGCGTTGGGCAGATCTCATCTAAGAAACTTCAGAGGTGTTCAATCAAAGGCTCTCTGTCGTGCCGACAGAATGACTCCTGAAACCCATGTCACTATCATCGTCGTTGCTTTCGCGTTTCATATCATTTCTTTGGCGGCAGTGGGGGCTGGCTCGATTCCAATATAATTGGGATCATGCTAGGCAGATTTTTGTCATTTTCAGTCATTCCTGACACTGCTGGGTTGAGTGGCAGAATGTTGGTTTGCATTTCGTTTCCAATACTTGGTTCTCACATTATACACCACGACACGAGGAACCGATACGAGGTGCGTACATCATTCGTGTAACTTCTCGAATCTGTAAGTCCATGTTGTCTTATCCGAGATCTGGCCCGAGTGCACATCTATTTGTACCAGGGGTTCTCTTGCGCTAGTAGTCCAGTGAAGGCTAAGAATTATCTGAAATGTTAGAATTAGGGCTGATTCAGATACGTAGGAGTGACCTTACTTGGTTTCCGGAGAGTTCCACCATGTTACGGTTGTTAAGTAAAGAAGCGCTTATTCCCACTTGATAAGGATTTTGTTCGATGATTCTCTGGTCTCCTCGGGAACAAGGATGCACGTGTCGTATAGTGATGGCCTTCGCGAACCATGCAATGAAATGGAGCAAACCGGCATACGACTTTCATTCTGTGTATCGTTAACATGTGGAAACTGGAGAAGCATGGAAGCAAAAGCGCGATGCCACAACGAGCGAGTTACAACGCCAAAGCCCAATCTAGAGAACTAACGAAAAGAAAAGGAGAGCGAACATCTATGGACCCTAATGTCTCATACATGCATATCCTCGTTACTACCGTTAATCTAAATTCTAGTATAATCATTCTCGGCTTTTGATCATTGACGCGTGATTTCAGCTGTCCAAGCTCTTTTCTCTCTATGTGAGAGGAAAAAGTAAGTTCTAACCTTCTACATGAATATGGCATGAAGTATTAGATATACTAAGATAAGGTTTACCAGTTACTGTATCACGGAAAATCAAAGCTCAATTCGTTATTATGGACAAATCTTATTGTGTTCACATAACGTAAACATGGAAGGAAGAGTTGGATGCACACCTTTGTCAACAATTATGTGCAACGTCTCGCCTGGTGTGGTGAAGAAAAGACTCATGTGTAGGAGAACTTGATGATAACCATAGTGAATCTTGGAAATATGACAGAGAAGGAGAAAGAATTCCACAAGGTTTTGGATCAAGAGTTGTGAGAAGCAATGTGATTTTGTAGATAAGAAACCATGAAGGATATTAAAGACATAAAACTAGTCTTGGACATCTTAAGTTAGAGTTGAATATGAAATTGAGCGATGAATACTATTCTTACACAAGTACGATTGAAAGTTTAGAAATAAAATATGAGATATTGTAGACATTATAGTTAGATATAGACAATGTTATCTATCATGAGTGTAATCGAGATAGATCAAGATTTCAAGAAGCGAATTTTGCAACATATCATTCTATTATGACGTGACTATTATAAAAAGATGATAACATGAATAATTAGTAGGATCATGAATGTGATAACGATATGTGAGATAAGAAGGAATGTTTCTTATTAGTATCAAAGATTGAGGATTACTCCTTAAGCTTTGAGTGACACGCGTGCCAAAGGATGGTTAACGGATGTGATAACTTGATCTTTGAGGTGGAATGTGACGGAACTTGCAAACTACAGCGTTATGTGAACTTCTAAATGAGGAGTTTATGAACATTGTTTGGAACAAGCGCGGCACCAAGATGCAGTTTTATCAACTTCATCTGAATCCTATACTTGTTTATTGTGAACATGATTATCTACTTGCAGTAATCTCAACGTACTTACGTCATATTATTGCTAGGCATAGAACTAGATCTCATAGACTTCGAATTGAGGAAGTTAGTTGGCTTAATATTGATAGGATTGCATGTATTTGTAGATTATGTGACGGTAGGTACATTGAGTATGAAGAACATGTATTTGTTACTTGTTCTAGGTACGAAGACATTAGGCTTGCTCATAATATAGATGTGGAGAAATTATATTCTTTGTTAAAGTTAGTTACTTTTGATTTAGGTTGTTATATTAGGGACATTATTAAATACCTTTCTAGTGCTCTTGGCACTAGCCTGGGTTGGCCTTTGGGGTCTTTTCACTTGTTTGCGGTTTTAGCTTGTATTATGTTTTTCAGTCTTTTGATCTTTTGGGTCCCCGGGTTTGATCTTTTACCATTTTAAAGTCTGATTCTGAATAAACTATGTGTTATCAAACTTTCAAATAGATATGTCACTACTATACTAATTGTAGTAAAATAAATAGATGATTCAAACGTTGAGTTATATTTCCCAGGATATATCAAGAGTTTTTGTATGTAGATATCTTTAAATATTGTTTGCATTCAACATTGCCACGTAAACAGTGTACATGCTCTCAATCTTATGCTCAAATCAATGACTCAAATAAGAATATATAGTTAACTCGTCTAAACTAAGTTAATCGTGTATGAATTATCTTCTTACTTTACAATCATGACTCTTTAGAAGCGGCAGATTTCTAGTATTATGGTTTCTGAATCCCCCAAAATAAAACCCAAATGAGTCAGATAAGAGAAAAGTTGCTCGTTCATTGACTCATCTGACGGAACCAATTTTGGGATACAATTGAAGATGGAATCACTTTGATGAGCGTTTAAAAGAATACCTTGGACCTGTGAAAATTTCCATAGTAGTGTTGCCAAATGAACTCACAACTGACAGACCCACGTTCAGTTTCTTCTTTCTGCATAATAGGAGGCTTCCTTTGCGTGGCGGTCTGAGAAAAAAACTAAATGAGGTAGAGGGATCGCTTACAGTAGAGCCCGTTGAAAACCACGTTAAACCCATATTGGTTCTAACAACACCACGTTTGGTTGGGACTCCATTACATGAATTCATAACTCATTCGTGTAATGGAGTCCGTCCTTGATAGCTCTGGCGGAGACGGGCGTGCTAGACCAGTTCGTTCGTTTCGCAGTTGAAGGATTGGTCAGTGCATTCATGAGTGTCATAGAAAACGCCCAGTATTGTAAAAGTAGAGGAATATAAGTAGCAAGCATTCAAAATTCTACACGTTGTGTGATGAGGCTGTGAAGCTACCGTTTGTGTTAAGTCGCTTAAGGTTATACATCACAGATACGTGGATGGTAGACTATAAGGATTGCGGAGCTTTAGTTTGGAGGCATAAATTATCGCAACTACTTTTTGTGTGGGCTCACATTTATACATGAATGACTGATTCACCCTGACGTACTTCATCAGCATGTCTTGAAATATATTGTGATGATAGAGCTTGTATTTTACCAGTATCACTCCATTGAAAGAATATGATATGATATTACAATTTTATAATGGCATGAACTGGGTACCAGAAGTGTGAGCCTGGGGATGGTTAAGTGATGTTCACTTATAAAAACGTAGTACATTAACAGGGCTATACATGGGTACTGATCGCGACGAAATATTGCAAGAGCCCCCGATCAGTCCTCGTAGTGAGAACATTCCATAGGTCCTGATGGTGATGAACTAGCTGCTGTTATAAGCAAAAACCTAAGATCAAACTACGTCGACCTGATTTCAGACAGATGATCGAGCTCTACTCTTATACACACGAACTCAAGATGTCCACAGGATCATCGTCACCATAAAAAGCCTACGTGCTGATCACAGTGAACACCTATTTCTCTCTTATTCAGAAGATGAGGTGAGTAGTAAGGCTGGCGGGGTTTTGACGGCTTGGGGCAGTTCTTAGAAATCGAATGCACGTTGGTCAAGTAGAACACATCAGCAGTTACCGCTTCTTCATCCTGGTTCCTGTGCCATTTGAAAACTGCAGAAGTTTTGTTGAAGATTTCGAGTGTTCCATGACCAAAGCTGGGCTCACGAAAAGCACTGTATGGAGGCTGGGGTTTGACTTTGAACCTGTACGAGAACGGTACATGAATGGAAACGTTTGCTTGGTTAACTCAACTATAGAAGAGTCGATAAGGATAGCCTACAGTACTGAGCTAATACACTACATACTCACTAACAGTACCATAGTCTACTGCAAACAAATCCTTGATTATATCGCATTTCATAGTAGTAATAGAAAATTGGAAGCTAAAAACTGCTACAGAGAACTTACTTTGTTGCAGGGCCCTCACGATTTCCTCCGTCTCCAATTGTAACATAAACTGGTGCACAAGGGTCCTCTTCGTAAAAATACAGTCGTTTCTGTGAAAACAGGCAGCTCCTTTTTAGCTCAACATTTCAAACTTTCTATAATGTTTATTTGTTTTGAAACTTCGTAGCGTCCCGTGAGTGTGAGAGGGCTGAAGTCCAAGAACCTTATTAAAGAGATTTATCGTGTAATGGCGAAGAAAACTCACAAATCGCTCATAAGAATGAACGTGACCGGAATAAATAGCATCAACGTGATACTTTCGGGCGAGATATTCCACCGCATTGCGCATCACTTCCCCTTCCAGATAATGTGCGTTGTAGGTGTTGTACCACGGTGCATGGGTGATAATGACCACCCATGGTGTTACAGCTCGGTTGACACGAGACAAGTCAGCCTGCAAACAATTATACGCCAAAAATGAAGAAATCAATGATGTCTCTAATCGATCTAGCAGAAGTGAGTGCGGAGATCACAAACCATATCTAATGCAATTCCAAAAGCATGACATAAAACTATCTCTCCACCATAACTTTTAACCTCAACTCCTACGAGGTATGATCTAAACTAGTCCGATACAGATAACTATCCATGTACCAAAAAAATGAAGCTGTTATTAGAATACATTAACTCTCCTGTTTCATAGTCGCCTTATTTTCGAGAGCACAAACATGCTCTTAGCTACCAGACGCAAAAGTAAAACTGCAAAACTCGACCTAATTTCAAACAGTCAAATTTACACGGCAGGGGGCTCCAACCTTTAACCACTTGTATTGTGGGGTGTATTTGGCCAATGAGACGTAAGAGTTGAGTGCAACTATATGAACCGGTCCAATCTCGACAGAGTAGAACAGGGGACCTTGACTGCGACTGCTCTTCCATGGGGTTGCGAAGCGATGAGTAGCTGCTACGAATGGTTCCCTCTCATTCTGAAGACAAAACAAAGAAAAGCTGAGAGATCAGTTCAAAGATACCTCGAGAATCAAACCAGAGAACAACTTGTTTGACAGATCAGCTTCCCCTGGCAGTTCAACGCCTTTCTACCAACCCACTGTTCAGTCAATTCAGGTTAAATTGGAAGTGCGAAACGTGCTCACCGCTGACTCCTTGTACTCAATCTCATGATTCCCGTAGGTGAAAACAAAAGGAACTTTGCTGGAATATGGTGTCATCATTCGACCCCATGTGTCCCAACGGGGCTGGTAATCATCGGCATAAGAAAAATCACCCATGTTGAGAAGATATTGCCCTTCACTCTCCATCATATGACCTAACGTGGTATTGGATGAGTAGGTTTGGCCAAGATCTCCTGCTCGCAAACAAGGGAAACTCAGTAACATTTAGCAGTAATTCAGGGCATTGTATTGTACATATGAACGCTCATCAAACTAACTGAGGTTCCATATTCAAGGTCAAGATTATAATTCTCTGCACAATACCTTTACTTGAACATACATGTAATCCAGCACGTAAAGAGTAAATGTCTTCCGCTTACCTACTATAGTAAACTTAATGGCTGTGTCTGGTCCAGGTGCGGGTGGCGTTGTGAAGTCACCATAAAAGGTCAAGAATTCTTCGTTACTGCTGCCAATTTTGTAGTAGTACTTTGTATTATACTGCAGAAAGATGACCGGAACCAGATTCAACGCTTGCCGGTCAGTCTTGCACTCTGTTATATTAGCTGCAGTAAAATGCCACATCATTTGCAAATATATGCGGATGTTGATTCCTCTTACTACACAAAACAACCTGTCAAGTTTAACTGAATCTCCTCGTACTTCAATCATCAGAAGATCAAAGTACAAGAAGATTTGAGAATAAGTGAGAAAATTTTAAAAAAGTTATTGCTGAAAGTTATTGCAGACCTCCAGATTGGATAGGGTTACATGATGAAGGAGACCAGAAGTGTAGTCCATGTATGTGTATCGCTTGGGCTCATCTCCCTTCGCCAGCAGATCGTATTTCCTAGGTTCTTTTGAATAGAGCACCAAAGTCTCCATGGGTTTGTTGCTGGACCAGCTAACCGTGATTGCTGTTCCTGTACGGTCTCCAATAGTCAAGAATACCTGCAGAGAAACCAAAGGGCAGAATTTCAACTGAATCACTGTGCTTGACGTCGCTTAATGTGCCAAACAAACCCCTAGAACTCAGTTTACATTTAAAATAAAGTAGCAATCTCACAATGCTCTACAAAAGAAGTTCCTTAAAAGCTGCAAAATTTTGATCAGTTTGCTGTGTGGCTGCATCAGATATAACATCTACATACCTGCTCTGGAACTCCGCGTGGGTTTGGAGCAAGAATAGGCTCATCTAAATGCATATCAAGATCTGCGTAAGGTCGGGTGTACTCGGTCTCCACACCAGCATAAGTACTGTTGGGATACAAGTATTGACTCTTCACTTGTTTATCTGTACAACAGCCATAACAGGGAGGTTAGTTCAGAAAAGAAAAACATAATATTTGTTCCCGATTACCCATAGACCATCGAAATGCTGTCAGTCATGTGATTATATACTTGCAGCGTTACTAGAATTTCTACGGTGGTGAAGCTAGCGACAAAATTAAAACTTGATTATCTACTGACTCCCAACTTTACAATCGAATTTTCGAGCACAGGTTTTGAATTTGAGCAAAATCCTACAGTTTTACGATGCAAAAAAAGAGGACAACACTCCAAGTCATTGAGGACATGTTTGACAAATAAATGCTACAGATATTCCTAATGGCCCTTATGTGACACTAAACGCTCCAAGGTAAGATATTGGGAAACTACGAAGATAAGAAAATCCCATTAGGCGGAACAAGTGGGACTAAAGCTCGGTCAGAATGCTAGTCCCAAACTCAGAGAACGCTAACGGCAGTCACTTAAGGCAATGTGCGCTCATCTGGGAATGTGAAATTTAAACTTGCACCAGGGCCTCTGAACTAGTGTCGCTGGAGTACTCCAGTCATCAGGTGACCAAACGAGCAAAATAAACACGAGATCCTTCAAGCACACAAGCTTACCATTTCCAGCGTGCAGTACGATACAGAGCACCAAAAAGGACAGTAATTTCTCCATCGTTGCACAGTTCTTGCTGTCGTATTTAAATTGCAATCTGCAGGGTCATGTGCACTTTAGAACTGACATCTCAATTGATAATGCACAGGACCTGTGAATCTAAACCACCAACAGGACAACGTGTTGTTGCTGACAACAAAACTCGCACTTCGCAACAAGTTCTTCCCTCCAATTACATAAAACTGCAATAACGGATGTACTGAGCCATTACTCCTCTCAGTCGTCAGTGCAATCATCTATCGGACCAGAATTTTATCCTGCTTCCGATGCACCGGAACTCTACACACCTCAACACGAAACTCTAAAGTTGAAGGGTTTACACTTACTCCAAAGTTGGAAAAGGTTGCCATCGCCTTTGCAACGTGAACGTCACGGTGACAAAAATGCTATTAAATATGCAAAGCATAACATGTGTCCATGACACTAGCGTAAAATGTTCTTGGACATCTCATAGACTAACTCTCCGGGTTTCACGAGATATCTACATATGCAATACAATCAGTTTGTATGCATGTAGAACATGTCATGGGCATGAGAAGTCAATATTTGTTCTTCTCCAAATCTCATTTCAAATGCATCATAACTTGTTGCTCATTAGATAATAATCGTATCACCGTTACTTTCTATTCTTCGAAATTCTATGAGAACCTTCTCAATTCTTTCCATTATATGTCATCCTACCAAACATTAACTCATTCATGAATAAAAGAGTGAATATCTATAAGTTTGAATCAATCCAAATGAAATTCATTGATATCTTCCATCAAAATAAATGGAAATAATTTTACTTTAGGTATCTTTGGCGCTTTTTTCAGGAATGTAAAATTACCTTTATACAGGTTCAGCTTTGTTCAGTCTACCCTAAAAAATACCTGGAGACAATGACTTTTAGTTTTACTAGCCATAGCAGTAACGGATACCCACAGAATTGAGAGTGCATGGTTTTGATTTTTTATTTTCTCACAAAGGGCTAGACTGCCAATAATCTCCACCCATACATTCGCAGTTTAGGGAGTGGTCACGTTCATCAGACGTTGCCGAGAGGCATACAGGATCATGTCTCTTCTGCTTCCGCGTCGTGTATGTTCTACACTTGCCTCCCTTCCTAGTTGGGGCCCACATTCCCCATTCTGCTGCAGTCTTCTCATGCACGGCAGTGGACGATGCCTCGGAGACTGCACCAGAATGCATTGGATCTGCATTCTGGTGCAGTCTCCAATGAAGATCCAATGTAGAATGCCAGATCCAATGCTGGTGTTTCTCTGATTCTACGATAAGTCCTCCACAAAGACCATCAAAATTGGGAAAGTTTGAGCTTGAAAATGTCTGTCTGTCACTTTCGAGAAGCAGACTGGGAGGTTTACATCGGTCGACATTCGGCTGGAGCACAGCGGGCTGGAATTCCGGCTTCTGCCTGCATATGGGGGAATCCTTTCAGTATGCAGAATGAGAGAGATGAGCGGGAGCGCGCTGAGGTTGTGAAGAAGTACGAGCGATGGCTTCTTGACCCCGAGCGAGACGCGCTGGTACAAAGGGCGAGGAGGGAACTCAGAGGCAAAAAGTTGGCATGTTGGTGTAAGCCAAAGCAATGTCACGGAGATGTGCTGGCTTGGGTTGCCAATGTCAATTCCCTGGATGAGATTAACGGCAGACGGATAGAGTTGAGAATGAAGGAGGTTAGTTACGGTGATGCGTAACAGGTGGGAAGCCGGACTTCATCCAGAGTCATCCTCTACGAGCTAACTGTCGAAAATTGAATCATAGCGTTGGGCAGATCTTTGAATCACGATTGTTTGATACAATCTTGGAGTTGTGCCTCACACTAGAAAGATGTTTTTATGAAACATTCCAAAGTAATCTGGCTGTGAGAAATCTGTTGTTCATCTCATCTCACTGAGGAACTCCATCTAAGATGGGGGTTGCTTGTGGAGCCCAAGCAGTGTGAATTTATCCTGAAAAGGAATTGGTTTTCGGAGTAAGTTCGTGATCTTCTGAGTCTTATGTAAGAAATTCAGAGGTGTTGATTAATCAAAGGCTCTCTGTCGTGCCGACAGAATGACTCCTGAATCCCATGTCACTATCATCGTCGTTGCTTTCGTGTTTCATATCATTTCTTTGGCGGCAGTGGGGGCTGGCACGATTCCAGTATAATTGGAATTATGCTAGGCAGATATTTGTCATTTTCAGTCATTCCTGACACTGCTGGGTTGAGTGGCAGAATGTTGGTTTGCATTTCGTTTCCAATACTGGGTTCTCACATTATACACCACGACACGAGGAACAGAGACGAGGTGCGTACATCCTTCGTGTAACTTCTCGAATCTGTAAGTCCATGTTGTCTTATCCGAGATCTGGCCCGAGTGCACATTGATTTGTAACAGGGCTTCTCTTGCGCTCGTAGTCCAGTAAAGGCTAAGAATTATCGGCAATGTTAGACTGAGGTCTGATTCGGATACGTAGGAGTGACCTTACTTGGTTTCTGGAGAGTTCCACCATGTTACGGGTGTTAAGTAAAGAAGCGCTTATTCCAACTTGATGAGGATTCTGTTCGATGATTCTCTGGTCTCCACAATTATTATGGACAGATCTTATTGTGTTCACATAACGTAAACATGGAAGGAAGAGTTGGATGTACACCTTTGTCAACAGTTATGTGCACCGTCTCGCTCGGTGTCGGAGAAGAAAAGACTCATGTGTAGGAGAAATTGATGATAACCATACTGAATCTTGAAAATATGAAAGAGAAGGAGAAACAATTCCACAAGGTTTTGGATCAAGAGTTGTGAGAACCAATGTGACTTTGTAGATAAGAAAACATGAAGGATGTTAAAGACATAAAACTAGTCTTGGACATCTTAAGTTAGAGTTGAATATGAAATTGAACGATGATACAATTCTTACACAAGTACGATTGAAAGTTTAGGAATAGAATATGAGATATTGTAGACATAATAGTTAGATATAGGCAATTTACTCTCTCATTAGTGTAATCGAGATAGATCAAGAGGTGTGAGCCGAACCTTCCCACCCTTCAGCGTTTGTAGTCCAGGTGGGGGTTCGAACTCCCATAATCTAACTTCTCTGATCAGAAGCCATGTACTCAAAGTGTATTCAAGACAATGAGATGATAAACACTTGCTCTTCCAAAGACAAATGGTCCAAAACTGAAACTAACACCTGCAACCTACTATCTTCACAAGAGCATCAGACAAGCTCTTTGTTACATAAAGATCTAACCCAACTCTGGGTGACTTCCTCAATACTACAGCCGCAGTGGGCTTTCCTAGATCCCAGTCCCAGTCCCAATTCCTACTCAGACTTCAGTGTCGATTTCTCAGCTTCCATCTTCAGACCCCATCAGATTCCTCTCTCAGATTCAACTTTGCCTTTTCAGTTTCAAATTCAGATCCCGACTGTCAGATCTCAGTCTCAGATTTCACTTCACTCTCAGCTCCCATTCTCAGATCTTCCACTCTGATCTCAGATCCCACTCACAGATTTTACACTTCAATCTCATATTACACTTAAATTTCACTCTCAGATACAACTCTCCACCCACGAGAGTTTGCTTCCTCCTACTTCGAACTCTCCACACTCCCCTCCTAACTCTCACCACTTCCCTGCGAAAAATCGCTCACACCACACTCTATCCTACGACCGATACCACTTCTGTCTCCACACACGCACACACGCACACCTCAAGCTCTCGCACACTAGTACATTCTCAACTCTCCACTCCCAGGCCGAACACACCACCAGGTCTCAGCTCCAAGGCCGAACACACCACTTCCGCCTGCATGCCCCACCCGCAATGATGGGTAGTTGCCTGCTCCCCCTGCGCGAACACACCACTTCCGCCTGCATGCCCCACCCGCAATGATGGGTAGTTGCCTGCTCCCCCTGCGCGACTTCACGCCGCCGCCGCCACCACACCTGTACATTCTACATTCCTGACCACCCGATCTCCGTCGGAGGGAATCTTCTTCCGCGCACCGCCGAAGGCATCCACCCGCCGAAGACGCACGACCGCACCTTTGCCTATCTATAACAGTCACTCCCGACACCCATAACTCACGGATCCTTGCTCCGTTTCAAGAGTTCTTGGGCTCGTTGAAACGAGCAGGTCGAGCTCTTTCCAACGAGACCCTAACTGAGTCAACCCGTTACGAATTGCGAAAGTTATGCCGGTTTTACCCTTCGCCGAAGGCACACCGCCGAAGTACTGTTATCTGTTATCGCCGAAGGCGCCCGCACGATGTTCGCCGGTTGGATGTCTTCCGGTTTGATATACTCCGGTTCGATGTTGTCCTACCCTATCCGCCGCTTTCGACGCTCATAACTCAGTGACGCCTTATCCGTTTGAAGAGTTCTTGGTCTCGTTGGAACGAGCGTCGCGAGCTCTTTCCAACGATACCCTAATCAAGTCAAACCGTTAACAAATGAAAAAGATATGCTGATTTTACTGTTTCGCCGATGGCCCTTCCTCCGAGGGCCCATTATCTGGTATCGTCAAAGGCCCCTGCACGATGTTCACCGGCTCGGAGTTCGCCGACTCCGAATTCGCCGACCCCGAGTTCGCTGATTCGGAGTTCGCCGAACTCGTATTGCCGAAGGCCTGCTCGCAGTTGTCGCGAAGGCGTCCGAAGCCGGAGACGTCCAAAGCCGGAGACATTCGGTGCCGAAGACGTCCGAAGCCGGAGACGTCCGCAGCCGAAGACGTCCGAAGCCGAACTCGCCTCAACCCTTCCCATCAGTAACTTCCGACACTCACAACTCAGTGATGCCTTATCCGTTTCAAGACTTCTTGGTCTCGTTGGAACAAGCGTCGCAAGCTCTTTCCAACAAGACACTAACTGAGTCAAGGTGTCACACATTGAAAACGTTATGAGGGTTTCATTGTTTCGCCGAAGGCCTTTCCCCGAAGGAACTTCACCGAAGGCACTTCACCGGAGACCCTGCCTTGAAGACCCCCTTCCGCAACTTTGTCTACTAACTATTACACCAACTCCTAATCTTGCCAAAACTTCCAGAAAACTCCAAGCACAACTTTGCAAGAGCTTAAATCTAAACTTTTAACTCTCATAAGGTTAAAAAGACATGTGAGCACAGTTTTGTACTCACAAGAGGTAAAGAAGACAATTTTGCAACAGATCATTGTATTATGATGTGACTATTATAAAACGATGATAACATGAATAAGTAGTAGGACCATGAATGTGATACCGATATTTGAGATAAGATGGAATGTGTCTTATTAGGATCAAAGTCTGATTTTGAAAAAACTGTGTGTTATCAAACTTTCAAGCAGATGTGTCATGAGATTAAATGTATTGCGTGATCAAGAAGGGATTTGAATAACTATTTTTACGAACAGCAACTTATTTGATCAAAATAAAATTATTATGACATATGAGAAAAATTTAACGATGTTCCAAGAACGTCAATGCTTGCTTTGTTTATAGTCTTCAAATGCAGTAGGTTTTCAGATGTTGGGATGACATGTATTCACAAAATTTTTCATTCAAGTTTACAAGAAATAGGAAAAAAATGAAAACACTAGTAAAATGATATTCTTTTCAAGTTTATTTTAAGAGTTTTTTTTTCTAAAATTATTTTATTACTTAAAAATTGCAAGTTTATTATTATTTCCATTATTTTAAAAAGGCATTTGAATGTTTGACATAAGCCATGAAGGTATATCTTTGATGTGAGCCATGTTTAGTGCATGTGACAACTATCTTACAATCATCATCATCATGATTCATGAGAAAACACATGATGTTAAATGTTTTTTTATTTTTTGAATTTCTTCTATAAATAAAATACTCAATAATTTTTTTATTCACAAAACAAAGAAAATTTTATTTTTTTTGCACATTTCTTAAGAATTATTTTTATTATATAAAGTTTTAAAATCCTCTTCTTGAATTCTAATTTTTTCCTATCCAAATATTTATATGATGGCAAAGTTAATGTAGTTTCTAGATTTGAACATCTAAATTAAATTAAAGTTTTATCTTTCTGCAGAAATGAGGTCAAAAAAATAATTTTTTTTCCTAATTTTTAGTGAATACATTTGATCAATATTTTTTGATTTAATAATTAACTTGACTAATTATTTATTGTTGGATGTTTTTGTGCTCTCGAAGGTTTCATTTCGTGGTCCAAGAGGTCTGATTACAGATCTGATCGTACGTCGACTGTACGTGAAATCCATGGTGCATCGAAGGTGCTTAAACTGTTCCTCCGGTATCTCGCGAGATTATACAAAAGAGGCCTTCCAGGCCAAGTGCAGCCACAGATCGCAGTCCTAACAGTGTAAATTCACCACGTTCCCGCAACACCAGGCTTAGATTTGGGAGCAATGCAGTCTCCATAAGCACGCGTCAGCAGGAGGCTGATGGATGCGAGCTGCATTGGTCCAGGTGAGCACGGCGAAGCACATTCGAAATAGCAAGGAAGGCTCTGAAGATAGTTATGTGCATATAAAAGAGGGTCGGCCATACGAGCTAATCACAACCTTCATCGTCTTCTCTTCTATTTCCTTCTCTTTCGAGTCAGAGTTGCTCTCCTGTCCGTTTCTTTGTATCACTCGACAGATCAACTCTACTCGATCGAGAGACGCACTCTCCAGTCTACAGTTTTCTAGCATTCAATTTGTCTATTCATCAATTTCCTTTCATTTTACAGACAGACACGAACAATGGCTTCGACCATGCGATCAACTTTCGCCAAGGTTTTGGTAGCAGCTGTGGCCGTCTCCAGCGTTGGAGTGGCTCTGGCACATGAGGGCCATGAACACGCCCCAGCTCCAGCCCCCATGGGAATGTCGGCAGCATCTGGACTTTTGCCAACAACCGTGGTGACCAGCTTGATCGTGGCCATCACTGGATTCGTTGCAGCTCGGTTCCTTTGAAGGACGCCTCCTTGAAGTCAGTGCATTGCTGGCAATTATCGAAGCCTGCGAATAAACAGGTCTTGCTGGTTCTACCGAAGGCTTGCTCCAACGGAGATTTCTCTTACGTTCCAGAATCGTAGAATCGGATAAGATCATTGTGTTTCTGCTCTGAATTCGAATCGACAGGATTAGACTCAGTAGACATGGCGTTTTGTACATGTACAAGGGAAGTTGCTTCACGAAAGTCTTAGAAGGTGCAGAAGCTGGCAGGACTTACGTAGCTTACGATATAGTTATGAGGCCTTGTAATCTAAGAATACCTTATTGTTACATGGACCACTAAGATCCAGATGGTCATTAACTGTATCTCATTATTTCAGTAAAGACTTTTGCCGAAGAGGCTAGCTTTTAAGCATACTGTACATTCAAGCCTTCCACTGCCACATTCCCGCACAAAACATGATTAGACTCCTTGAACATCGATATCGATGAATGAATAGTAATTTGATTTAATTTGATAATTAACTTGACTAATGATCAAGAATTTTAAAGGAGAATTTAACATTAATGAAATGGCAAATGAGGTATCTAAATGTCAAGATTCTAAGAATCTTAAATCTTTTACTTGATAAAATAAGTTACAATGTAAGTCGATCATTTGACTTTGGTCTACACTACCAAAGTTGGAAAAATGCATTAAATATCACATATTTTAATGAAAAATCTACCATTTTTGCCAAAAAATTTCAAATTGTACAAATCAATATATATGCAAAAAGTTGATATTTATTTTGTTTACATATTCGATTTATTTTATACACAAAAATGGTTGTTCCAAGATCTATCTTAACACATTAAAATACTATTATTAAAATGATAGGAACTAGTTTTTTTGAAATTTGGAAGAGAGTCACTAAACGGACTCCATAGCAAAAGTTCTAGCCTCGAAAAGGAGTCATAAAGGCAAATACCAAGATCTTTTCAGCGTTATAATAAGCCCAGAGAATTTAACACATGCGTGGCTAGAGATAAGAAACAAAACAGTCAATTTTACGCCCGGCGGCACGGTCGAAACCGGGAAAGATTGCTTTATGGAGACCAGCATAAGTCTTAATACCGGAATCTATAAATACCAACTAGCAAGAAAAGTTGGCATACACGGAGAGCGCCGCCCCCTTACTATAGCATCTCCCCCGGACAAATTAATTCAACAGGCTTTCATAAGAATTTCAGAGTATTTCTTCGAAAGTTATGTTGTATAAAAGTTCATTTTGTTGAAAAATTTGGAACCTATTTTTTTATATAACCAAAATGATAATTGAAATCTTCAAATCATACTTGTTACAATCAAGATACAGATATAATGTTATTTTAAAAATGTAATTTGAAATTTTCTGATCAAAATTTCCTAGTAGTTTGATTTTTGAATTTCATATCAATATTTTTAAGTTTACATTTATTGAACGATAACACATACTGTTTTACATTTCGAGAAACAAATATTGCTACTTAGTAACAAAGTTATATATATATATATATATATATATAGCAGAATGCTAATTGCTGTAAATGAGAGGCACTTTAATGGATTGGCGTTCATATAGCGCTGGAGCATCGCGTTCTGTAGACAGTACGTGGGGGCGATTGCGAGGCATGCGCGGTCGAGCAGGGTCGCCACATAAATGAGGAGAGAGAGTGCTGTGAGAGAGTGCTCATCTTCTGCTTCTCGTCTCCGCCTTCTCTTTCGAGTCAGAGTTGCTCCACATCGACGCTCAGTGTTTCCGATCGGTCGACAGGTGAACTCTACTCGAACGAGAAGCTCAAACACAATCTGAGGCCTGCGGATTTCTCATACACCGTTCCATTTGCTGCACCCGTCTCCCTTTTCTGAAACACGATGGCCTCGACCATGCGATCAGCTGTGGCCAAGGTTCTGGTGGCGGCTGTGGCAGTGTCCGGCGTCGGACTCGCTCTGGCCCACGACGGTCATGCCCACGCCCCCGCGCCAGGACCCATGGCAACGTCGGCAGCGTCGGGCTTGCTGCCGTCCACTTTCGTGACCAGCATGATCGTTGCAATGACCGGGTTCCTCGCCGCTCGATGCCTTTGATCTCACTTCACTGGCCAGTGGCCTTTCACAGACAGCTTCGGCAATGGCTGGACATGAGCAGATCTGGGTGACTCCACCATGAGCCTTCACTATCGGACCAGATCATATGGAGGCAGACTTGTTGGCATTTTGAAGATTTCTATATTGTCGAGGAATCATGGTCGTTCTCCTTCAAGCTAGATCATTGCACAAGTAGACTTGCCTTTGAGAATTAAATTCTTTGGCAGAAACAAAAGAATAGGAATTCGGTAGAGCTTCTGGAATGGTGGTAAAAGTTCTTTGGTCTCGATTGGAGGAACTCTTATCAACTAGGAAGTGTGACAATCAGACATAGGCAAGGTTGTCTAATAATGTAGTTCATGATTCAAGTTATGAGTAAAATTCTCGTCGCAGAAGCTCAATATAATTTATTCTTCGTCGCAATGGTTATGCATACGCTTCACTAACGAGCTCGAGTTTCTGGCATCAATCAGTAGTCCGAGTCATAGCTTCGGAGCACTAAGTAGTGAGCAGGACGGAAGTGAATACCAGTCAAGCACGTCTCTAGATAGAGAGATATGGAGTACAGTCCAGACTATGCAATGTACAATGCAGGTTTCCCATGTTGATTGTCACCAATTTGGAATGTATTATCGTAAATGATTCACAAGGACCTCGGATTCGCAGGAAAGTGTGCAACTTTCGCAGTGGACCTTGCGCATTCCTGCAAAAGGCTTAGAGATTCACTAGAACACAAATTCCAGCGATTCTTTGGCGACATTGTCATGCCAAACGCGACTTTATTCTTCAGAAGAGTATCAGCGACTATGAACTACAAAGACCGGAAACGTGTAGCTTCACTGTATAAGAAGGATGTATACTCGCTAATACGTGGCAATCGTACTTCCTTCTTCATTCCCATATCCATCAGATTACTCGAATGCATAAGGCACCTTCTAGCTGATTTTTCAGCTCGATAACAGATCAGTTACAAACCTGACTCCAGTACGTGTTCGTAGAGAAGGATCAGCAAGAGGAATCTGAGATTTACAGGTTGAAAGTGCATCACTCACAGCTCAAATTTATTATCCATTAGCTTCCATGCCTTAAATTTCATGATTCAATTTCAGAGTCGATGCCAATCTGCTGCAGCATATGCTTTGTAAACAACTCATACAGAAATTACTGATCATAAATAGAATAGACATAGAAATTACTGATCATAAATAGAATAGACATAAATGATGTCGTTTCCAATAGGCTACCAGCCAATGAATGGTATATTTTATCCCTCCCTATCAAACCTTCCACACCACACCAAGTCCGAAGAGTGGTGTAAATACTAGACAAATTGCCGTTTCCAGGTATGGCACATGACAACTTAGACACGAGAATCCGGTAGTGATGATGGGAATCGCTCCCTTGAAACGCGAAGCCGAGGTAAAAACACTCAGACAATGTCTTGTAGTAGATCGGGAGTAACAAGAGCTCATGGACAAATCTCCGGCTATCGTCGCCAGTAATCTTGTCGATGCTCTCTGGACTCTGATCACTCTAGCTTCTTTAGCATTAATACTATGCTGACTACAATTGAGATTCGATTTAGCAATTGGAAGCGCAAAAAGATCTCAGAGTCATAATCGCATTTCTATGCATAGATTAGTGCTAATTGCTGCTCCTGACTACCTTCTACATTATGACTGCTCCTGATATGATCTTCCAACATTTTTCTCTTCCCATTGATCCAACCTCCACGAACGGAGTAAACACTTTAGTGCCCAACTGCTTCTCGCGGATATTGGTCGCTATCTCCTCTCGATGGAACCACAATCTCGAACCTCCCAGTATTCCCAACCCAACGTTTTAGGCATTCCATTCTGCTTCTCCTTTGTGTGTCCCAGGACCCCCATCACCGAAGTAGCCTCTCCAACCGATTCCATTCCCCTATGTCACAGCGCAGTAATAGGTGCTATTCGCAGCTTTAGCTCTCGGACCGGTGCCTTCAGGATCAGGTTCTCCTGATCCACAAAACAGACTGCGGGTCCTCCAATCCTACAAATTTCTTCTCAAGGTCCTTCAGATGTTTTGTCTTTCTGTTTCCAATTCTTCCTTCTGCTCAGCTGACCACTCCATTTCGATCAACTGGCCGATTAGATTCCCTGGACCCACTTGGTCCATGATTTGCATCAGGTCCATGTACCCATGAGCCTCTGGAACTGAAGCTTTGAATTCTCCTCTCCTCATCTCTTGTGGCGGTTTCCCTGGAGTAGAAAAAATTACCTCTATGCTCCTAGTAGATCTCATACTGCGCTGTCTTTGCCCATATCAGACAATCCGGACTCTGAAATTTTAATTCTTTCAAGTATTTATTTCTAACATATTTTTTCCATAACTGAATTTGATTTGTAAAAAGAAAGTATAATATCAAACATTATAAAAAAAAACCTTGCAATAACAGTAGCACTTTTATAATCATATTGCGCAAGTTTTGAAAAAAAAGTACAGAAATTACTAAATATTTTATTGGAATATTAGATGCTATTAAAATTATTGAACCGTATTCACCTCAAGCTCTAGACAGTAGTCTCTCCTCTCCTTTGGGCGTAAATCATATCAACTTAAAATACATATGTGCCAACAAGAAGGACACATAAACTGCCCTCTTTTATATTGCCTTAGCCGCAACAGCCATCGCTTGAGCATTCTTGACGCAGATCTTGCCGCAGTTTCTCAAAATGACATCTCGTAGGAAGCTTCCGACTACTCGGACTGTGTATACAGGCCTAGGTAGTTCTCTGACGAGAAAAGTTGATTCAATGTGTGGGTCGCTGATCGGATCAAGTTTATAGCCAGAAGTGCCTTCCTCCTTCTGGGGCTAAACCACTTCGTCTGGTCCAAAACGAAACCCGTGTATACGGTTGTCTCTTCCCTCTGAACATTGTCTTGATCCTTCTCATGTTTATGTCTCAACACTCGTGCCCACATCTTCCCATCCCATATCTGTGGGCGCCTGGAATTTCTGGAGATCACATCGGCCTCCCAATTCGCAGTTCTTCAAATTACTCCGGGCACACAAAGTCACATTTCCATGACAGGAAGGCTTCTCGCAACTCTCTCAGCTGCAGTACGGCTGCGCGGCATTGAGTTGGCGATCATAATCAGGAGCCTGATTTTTGCCCATTGTGACCTTCTTCGAAGGTGGCCCTCTCTCTCCCTTCATCATGTCTCGTCCTCTCTTCAATAGTGGCGGCTCTAACTCTCGACTAGGTACTGCTTCAAGCAGATTTTAGAGTTTCTCAACACGGTTCCGCTATGTCAAGACTCCTTCTGCTGGTCCTTTCCCTCACGGACAGTCATCTTAGTCAGATTCTTAATTCTCTTGTTTATTCCATATTCATCGAGTACACTCTGTATCAATATACCATTTCTCCTAAAAAAAGTTTCTCCAACTTCTACCTACTATGTCCCTGTACCAGACATCAGTGTAATCGACTCGACTGAACCATGAAATGTGCAATTAGTAGTGCTGTCAACTACCATATGGATAAGCAGTGGTAAAGAATATAGCTGACAACCTCGAGTTCATCGCGGTACAAGCCGTGCCAAATACAGATCGTCTAGAGGAGCTTCACCAGAAAATAACTTCATATGGAAGTAATCATTATGAAGCAAGGTTACAGCAAGATCAAGCCCTTTCGTGCCGACTTCTACCTGAGCCTGAACCTGCCTGTAGAGCTTATGCTTGAACCCACAAGGCTTTATGTTTGAAGCGAAGGCGGTCCCTCAGAGATTTTGTTCTGCTTCAAGAGCAAGTTTCAGAGCTGGATCAAACCGTTATTCTAGGCGGCATCAGAGGTTCCTGATCTGGCCCTCCATCTGCTCAGCGTGCGTTTGACTCTCAGGAGAGCTTGACGAATGATGGGCGCCGGATATGGAGGAGGAAAAGGGGAGAAGAATTGTCGAATGTTGAAAAGCACTTGAACATTCAACAAATTTCCATGTTTCATAAATCCTTACTTGATGTTCATCTTTTGAACATTAAAACATTAAAACATGAACATTGTAGCCGGTGTTAAGTTCCAACTCATGTAACATCAACTGTCTCTTATGAAGCTAAATTGTTGAAATGAAGAGTCACCAGTTCAACACAGTTATTTGCTCAGTGCGAGAGGTGGCAACACTTGTTATCTCGATTCATGGGTGAAATATATACACTTCTCCGCTATTAGCACAGAGCGCGATAAGGTCTGCTATACATGCTTTTTTATATATATATATATATATATATATATATATATATAGTTATATACATGAATCACTTTCACACTTAAGTTTTTAGTCTTGACAATTAGATTACGAAGACGGCTGAAGGTTTCAAAATTGGAATACCACATCGACATTGCCTTACTTAAATCTCATTTTCAGTCTCTCCACTTGATGTTTTCGGTCCATTTCCAACATGATTCTGACATGTCTCAGTCGTGTCGTATTTGCATGAGATGGTCCGGCGGTGCAGCTCCAGGAATTCCACTTGAAGCTCGAAATCCGTTGGCTCATAGGTAGTAAAAGTTCCGTCGGCATAGGACGTGATGCAGGCTACCAAAATTTTGAAAAATCGTATGAACACGTGGACTTTCTAAAGAGGACGTTCAGCATAGAATCGCTGTATGGAACTGGTCGACACTTTCCTTTACTGGTCGTATAAAGGAGCAATATAGGTCGATCGGATACAGTTAACTAGTTTATCGTACTTGACTTGTTTGCAGTCAATCATGTTGGATTATTTTTTCTGTAAAACTCATTTGTAGTCGATGGTACTAGATTGCAATGATGTGATTGAGTACATTGCTTCATCGCGTTGAGGATCTTAGGAGTATCTGTATGTCAGTCTTTTGTAAGATTTAGTTTGCTAAAAATTTCCTGACTTTTGCAACAAGAAATTATTGATTTGAGTAAGCCAGAGACGCATTTTGAGGAAGGAAAGAGTCAAAGCAAGAGCGGAGTGGTAGCTGATTTCTATCAAATCCAGTTGTAGTCACCAGCTGGTGGCGGACGTTAATGAGCTGAAAGGAATCTCGTTGACAGTCACTGCCGCACGTTCTCATGAGCAACACTTCTCCACAAATCTTAACGAGGTCAGAATGCGAGATTACTTCCAATCTCTTCTGGTCATGAGCTCAAGTTTTCGAGAGGTTTGGAGAATCTGTCTCGAGAGTTTGACCGACAAACAAAACTATCAACTTCAAGACAGATGCAGCACCATTTCTACAGCAGGTGACCAAAGTGAGGAGATGACTGAAGAGCCTTGAGACGTGCGGACTCTAAATTTTTGAAAGGAAATGGCAGTAGGTTCCTGGTCTCTTGGTTGGAAACTTGAAGATGATGCCTTCAGCAAAACAAAATTCACTAACTTCAAGAGAGAAGTGAAACGGTTCAGGATTCACTCATTCACATGTCATAGAACCGACAGAAGTAAGTTACGGCACACTGATGAGTGGATGAG